GCAAGCCCTCAAAAGGAATTTTCGGTCAAGCACCTTTCAAACTTTTTCCTCAGAAAAAAACAAAGTAGACATAGCCAAAAATATATCAAATGCGCAATGAAAACCTCTTTCTAACAGATAAAACTGCTTTGAAAAATCTCCTATAGTAGTGGAGAAATGAATGGACAAATCCAGCGCGCATTCCTTTCCGAACAACCTAATATTTACGATGTAGCTTTTACTCTTAACTAGTTTCATTCGATAAGACGAGTTGGTACTCAGCCGGTCAGCGACGAGGCTACGTAGGGATGAACTCCCTAAATCTATGCTGGGTCGATATACTTCTGTATCTCGCAGGTGTATCCCCGCGAACGTGTGTCGAGAAATGCGGATGCAGTAGTACCCTGCCCATCGACTTAGTCAAAAGCTTGCATTTGAGTGGTTGGAAAAAACCCGGGAGGCGATTACGAACAAAACCCCTCGGTCACTCTGGATAGCCTGGGTAACTACCCTGAGCAGCACTTGTGATCTGATAATCATTCGGGTAAACCCGGTCCTCACGTTAGAGTTTGGCAGCTACTCGTGGGCACCTCTATACCAAAACAGTAATATGAATTCGCCTCACTCTCCTGAACCTGAAGCAGCCTCGCAATACGGCAGCCTTGGGTAGAACCGCTCGGAAGAGGCTACTAAAATCTCAAGGCTATGACAGGCTGCCTGAAAGCGAAGGACTAAGAAAACGACCTCTATCTTCATTGCACGGACGCATCGGAAGCGTGTATAGAAGACCTGATGATGCAAGCTAGGAACATCAAGTACGACTTCTTCGGACTGACTGAGACGAGAAGGCGTCGCACGCTGCACGCTGTATTTGAGATTGGAGAAGAACTGTTCCTTGGAACATGCGACAGCAGAGGCGTCGGCGGCGTAGGTGTCCTCGTCAATGCGCACTTGGCCGTGAATATCGATTCGTACGACGGCTCAACAACCCGAAAGACGTCTGCGATTAAAAAGGTGTGGATCAACCCCAGCTCTAACCATACTCGTTGCCTATGCACCAAGATCATCGTCGGTGATTTCGACGCCAAGATTGGCCCCAGAAGAACGGCTGAAGAACTCCATATCGGGACCACGGAATGGAATGGAATGAGCAAGGTGAAAGGCTGTCCGAGTTTATAATGTCAACTCATGTTATCCATGGTAACTCGCAGTTTCAGAAGCCCTCACATTTCCGATGGACATGGGAGTCACCTGGTGGACAGTTCCATAGGGAAATAGTTCGCATCATCGTCTATCGAAAGTTTTGACTGTCTGACGTCGCTGTTATTCCAAAGTTCTACACGGGATCAGACCATCGTCTCTTCCGCGTTAGATACTTCCGCTTTTCGGTACGTGTAGAGAGATGCGATTTTCAGGAAACGAAGCTCGTAAGACTGCTGTCAACAGGGATTACTTCGCTCAACTGGGAAGAGCATTCGCACGGCCGGCGGAGCTTCATCAATTATAACACCAAGATGACTTCTCTTCGTTGTTCTGACGGAACGGTAACTGCATCTCGAAGGGCAATTAAGAATGTATTTACTACTGCTGATCTGATCTTTTCAACAGCCACGTCTACCTGCAAACCTACCATCTTAGGCACGAAGGATGTGGCGTCCCTTCAGAAATTCAGCGTGTCATCACGTTGATGAAGAACTGTAAAGCACAAGCACCCAGTCAATATAGGATCGGCAGAATACTGGATAAAGGGCAGCCATATGAGTAGGCAGGCTTTCGAAGAGGATTTAGTACAATCGATGGCATTTACAATCTCATAATTCGTTTAAGTATCGCAAAGGTACAGAGTGCTGTTACATCCTACGATCGTTGGTTCAAATAAGCGCTTGAATACCGTCAAACAGAAGCATTTACTGATACCTTGGGCAACCACTCCTACTCAATATCCTACTTTACATAATTCGCTAAGTGTGTCTGTTGGTGTGTCTGTGTGTGTGTATGTGTGTGTTCCGGTCAAACACACACACCGACGTGTGTGTGTTTGACCGGAAATTCACAACTCCCGTTCCCGTGGACCTAGAAAGCTCAAGTTCGGCAGAAGTACAGGGGGCAGCATGGGAACACTTATGGCAGGTGGCAGGACCGGACTCCGCCCACAAGGGGCGGGGCGTGCGCGATGGAAATTTTGGGCCGTAAATCCATAACTCCTGTTTACATGGACCTAGAGCGTTGAAACTTAGCAGGAGTACAGGGGGCAGCATGGGAACACTTATGGCAGGTGGCAGGACTAGACCCCGCCTACAGGGGACGGGGCGTGCGCGGTAGAATTTTCAGGTCACAAATTCGTAACTCCTGTTCCCGCGGACCTAGAAATGTCAAATTTGGCAGAAGTACGAGGAGCAGCATGGAAACACTTATGGCAGGTAGTAAGATCGAACGCCGCCCGCAGGGGGCGGGATAGAAGTTTTAGGTTGCAAATTCATAGCTTCTGTTTACGTGGTCCTATCGCGTTGAAATTTGGTAGGAGTACAGGAAGTAGGATAGGACTGGACACTGATGGTAGGTGATAAGCGGTGATAATATTTTAAAGGAGTTGATAAAGAGCCTTGAAAGGCGAGAGTCACAGGAAACGTTACTTACTTCCTCTTAACGGCAGAGCTTTAGCACTTCGGAAAACTATTAGAGAATGATAGAAACTGATAGGAGGCGAAAGCCAATAAGTTTTTATACTAACAACTGAGCATTCCAGTAGATAGTGAAGGGGCTGAAGTTAATTGATGATAAGGACCGATAATAACAAGATAATAGCAAACGTTGCAATCCCCTTCGTGTCAACAGTGGAACCTTTTCAAATACCGCAATGTAGGATGGGACGTTGTCGTAGGTACTCTGTGACAGGAACTGATAACAACTGATAGGAACTTTTATGATCAAACACTGACTCTTTAATGCTGTGAATGCTGTAATAGCGAGCGATCAAAGACATTTCTCCATAACGAAATAAGAATTTTGTTCATTTCTCGCCATTAAACTACGACCGTTACGCAGTAAGCTTTGTGACGCAATGAAGTACCACGATTACTTTTTGTTTTGTAAGATATCATTTGTGACTAAACTCATCTGACCGCTAATGATTTGGGATTCCCAATTAGTGAAAAATCCGTGGAGAAAATGTTCCATTGATAACGACATCTGTGATAGGCGCTGCTATCCATTACTGGGTGCCATTCAAGAAATTGATTGTTAATCAGTTAAGCCATCAATGTGACACAATTTCGAGATGAAGAGCAATGAAACGAGACTTCTAATTAACATATAATTAATTACGATTCAGAAAAAATCGCTCCCACTTAGAGCTAATACTGAGGGTGTAGAGCTTTCAAAGAAAAAGGGAAATCCGAAGTGTTATTCACGCAGAGCAAACTTCTTACAGAAAGGAAAAGCGCCCGGAGAAGCCGGGCGACATCATCAGAAGGAGGGAAGCCCGGCGTTAGCCGGGCTTGTAAGGATAATTCGTAAGCTCAGTAGCGACTTCACGATCATGATTTTGCCGTTGAAGTCATTTTCGACGTGTAGAGAGTATCTCAGTGGGGCGATTCCACTTCGCCAGAACTTTCAGCTCCGCTCGAGAACATCATGCGTCATATGGAACGGGAAGGCATGGGCGGCATGACGGCCGCTACGCGCATAATCTCCGCTTTGCAGATGACATCGCTCTCATAACACCAAACACAGAGCAGGCGGAATAGGCTGTTGCATGAGGATATTTATCGAGCTGCAACTTTTTCATTATTTCAGAGACAGTTTCATCTTGAGCTTAGTATGCTCCTCAGCGAAGAAATGGTGTGGGGAGGAATCGGGCAAATGTAGTTAATAATGGATGCAGGTATTAGTAAGGAATGTCAAAGCTGGAAAGGATGAATGAGAATAAGGGTGGTAGTGATGGAGAGAGCGGAGAATATTCTGATTATCAAAAATTGCAAGTTGTAGGTAAGGGCAATGCAGCATCTGCTCGAATGGTGACTTCTTTGTCAAAAACAAAACGAACACCCTCAGCATGAATCTAAAAATTCTTATGGGATCTGACAACAAGCCTTTCTGAGATCACAGAAACAAATAATCCTCAACCGACATCAGTCTAACCAAGAGTCGCTCAATCCAGAGCTTTCTCCTGAAGATATACCCTACCTATGCTGTGACAACGGAAGATATAAACAGGGTTTCGCTCCTACCTTGCTTTCTTCGTTTCTGAAATGGGAAAGAATTTGATCGACTTCATCTTCCATTTCTTTTAGTATACTGTTATAGTCCGTATCTGTGTTTTCCATGACGTACCTAAAAGATCAAGCATCATGCCCAGCCAGACAGTCAAAGACTATTTTTAGAATGTTGAGAACTAGTGCTACCACTCACCGTCACTACTCGCTCAGAAATGGAGTAAACCGTCTGTTCTGATCGTCTGAAAGTCGATCAGAAAGTTGGCTCGAGGAATAGCATAATTCAGTTCTTACTGATCCGGAAAGATGAAGATTCATTACTCAAGAATATTCATAACTCAGAGCTTGCGCACCGAAAAAGATAGGCGGAGAAGGATGAGGGGCAAGGGGCATGAGATATTTGCCAACGCCACGTGTACAATAGAACAGGGAAAGTTTCACGTTATGCGATGTCTGCAAAATGTTGCAACTTGTTTTGCCCTGAAGTACAACCTTCACACTTGTATTGCTTGCGCCGTTGATGAAAACTAATCGGCTCTAGTATTTCCTATTCATCCCTCGTGCCACCACTTGTTAAACACCTACATGCGTTTTAACTTGATGTTGTTAGCCGCTGTTATCGCGACCCGAAACGCGATGCGCAAGTTTCACAAAGATGGTGAGTTATGCGTAAAACTTAACTCTCGGAGAAAACTTGATTGAGTAAAGTGATAATGCTGATAACAGCTATGTTCTCGCCAAAGCACGCAATGCGAAAGTCTAACAAAGTTGGCGAGTTATGGGCAAAACTTCGTCCTCGAAAGGGACTCGAGCCAGTACTTATGCTTTACAGGCACTGTGCTCTTTATCACTCACACTACCATGAACCATTCCTGTCTTCAGCTTTTCAAGCTAACTGGCTAACTAGATGAGCTATGGCATGAAAGTCAATATCTGGTATCTATCGTGGAAGGGTTAAAGAGCAGCTTGATCAAAAATTCAAGGTTCTAGACCCGTTTGAGGGGGAAATTTTGCCCGTAACCATCAACCTTGAAAGATGTATGTATGTGAAAAGTTTTAATTTGTGACCTTTTTTGTTTTCTTTGTAGGCAAGATCGCCCTCAGCTTCCCACGTTGCATGTTGCGTTGATGAGCTAATGAGTCACGCGTTCATGCTGGGAAATGCGGTTTTCTGTTTATTTCCAACCATTACATCAGAACAGTCCGCAGTCTAGTGCTAGGTGATACATACACCACCAACAGCACGGATTCCTGACTTAGCGCGGAAAGGCGTGTTTACCTTCGACTGCAACCTGTAAATGCAATCGTCGGTAGTGGTACCTTACTAATTGCTGAACCACCCGCACTTGTCCAAGAGGTGAACTCCAACATTACTGAGTTTCAGTTTATATCTTCTTTGCTCAACTCCCAATTTGAGATCCAACTAGCAATCGGAGCACGCAAATCAGGAGCCATAGACTGCAGCACTACTTCCAGTCTTCCACCAATCACATTCTTCATCGGTGGCGCACAGCTGGTGACGAGGGCACAAAGCTACGTGATCAAGCCTAGCCGGGGATAGTTGCGTGCCTTTGTACTGATAAAGTTCGTGGTTCTGTTTTGGCGAATGAAAAACAAGCTGGACGACTTCATGAGTAAGCCATTTAAGGTCAAAATTTGCTTGAAGTCGGCGTAAGTCCGAACTGCTTTGTTAACACGACACTTCCAAGCGCGGTACATGACGACTAATCTGTAGCACAAGAACAAGTATGTATAATTTTGTTGCCAAAATTGTGATGCTCAACCCACATCCTCTACCAGTTGAGAGAAACCCCTCTCGTTGCCCACGGATCTATTTTGCATTTCAAGTTCAATCCTCTTATGCGCGACGAACGGTTCGTTACTAGACTGGGGAACGCATTCTGCAATTTTGAATTCCATAAACTGCCTCTCGTAAACAGTTTCTCAGTTCTGCCTCCTGATACATCTTGTCCAATATTCAAGAA